AGTACATTTCATGATGGCACATCCTTAGCAACTTGGGCCGAGGGTTCATACTCAAGTCCGCACCAAGACTATGCACCCATGCAGCGACCACAACAACAATGGCAACAACAACAATGGCAACAACAATGGCAATCCAGTCCTCACCAAGACTTCTCACCTTGGAATCGACCACAACACCAATAGCAACAACAATGGCAATCCACTCCTCACCGTATGAGCATGGATAGCCCTCGACCGCAGACGGAGGGGCCAACTATCACGGAACCGAGGCGCCATAGCACGGAGGATCGCCCTTCTACGGCGAATAGGAATCTGCCACCCGTTCCACCATCAGCTACACCCGGTGGACCAGTCGCCCATCGCACAAGGAAACAGAGGGCAAATCGTCGAAATAATGCATGAGTGTGCGAGTTGTGTTTATTTCAAGTTATGTTTTGTTTAAATTTAGTTGAACAATGGTGTTTTTAGTTGGAGTTTTTAGTTGGAGTTTATTTTTAGTTTTTTCATGTAGTGTGTTTGTGTTCGTGACAAGTTTTATTCAAAAAGATGGAAAATTGAACCAAAGTTTGTGTTTTGTGCAAATCTCTAATGTCATTTAAGCACACAACATACAAGTAGAGTAACCATTGAAATTAATAAACAAAGATGGAACAAACGCATGAAATCAATCTAAGCGCCATTATCCGGGTTCACCACATCGGGCCCTGCATTTTGAGGACCAATTGGTCCGGGACATTTTCGTTTATCATGACCGGGTACCTTGGCCCCCGCGGTGGTCTTCCACTTTGATCCATTTCATTTGGAATCCTTTTTACCCGTGGGCGCCCTGTTACCCGCCTAAGACCGATTGGTGGAATGATGACCATACCCTCATAAACTGGCCAGTAAGCTTCATCCGGCAATGCACGGAAACTAGTACGATAACTGCTCTTTTGTGAGTCAATGTTGAAGAACGGACTGACGAAATGACGAGGGTCTTTGCTCCTGTGCTTTATTGCAGCCATTGCATGGGAACATGGTATCCCTCTACCCTGATACTTCTGACAAGAGCACTCCCCCTTTTTAGTCCTAAAGTCGACGGTGACTTCATGGCGATGACCCCCACGTCTCCCATCCTCCCAGTGCCCAGTCTCGACCGAAAACTCGCCAGCATGTCGGTTCATCACAGTGACTGTGTGACGAGAGTTCTTCCGATTATCTTTTTCCATTATTTTCATGACATAATCGGAGTTTACCTTACCCTGTGCCTCCCTATTCTCAGACCAGTGGAGACGGTTGACGAACCATCTGTTTGTTTTCCAGAATGTCATTTCAACAATTGCAGAGATGGGGAGTGCACGACATTCCCTGTAGACGTTGTTGATACTCTCGCTTGAGTTTGTTGTGGCAATACCCCATCTGTGACCTCCGTCCTTATGAAAAGTCCACATTTCAAGGTCATGTTGATCAAGCCACTGCGCACCTCCAGGGCATATTTGACGGATATTCTGCATCTTCTCTTTAAATTTCTTCTCTTGGTACGCGACAGCTGATGAATATTAAAAAAGTCAGATAAGCAAGATCGACCTTATTGCCAATACAAGTACACTCGTAAGACTCTTAGGAGAGGTATACATCTCCTTAGAAACACAGTCTTTTTGACAGAAAAAGGGGGAATCCGAGGATCGCTTAGAACCCGATTTTCCCAGTTCATGGGGGGATCATGATGATCGCTTAAGTCCCCATTTCCTTAGGCATGCATTTCTTTATAAAGAGTCTAGATAAGTGTTGTATTGTATTGAAACATTCCATACATTTATACAGTTGAAAAAATGTACAGAGACACAATTAATTAGAACGCTTACCGATCCACCATATACTGTCAGCAAGCTTCTTTCGCTTGAAATGATGGTTCCAGTTGCTCTTGAAATGCCGTATGCATCATCTCTGTGACCAGTTCCAGGCTGGATCCAAGCCTAAGATAGCAGCCCGTATTCCGGCGTGGCGATCTGAGATGATAGTCAGGTCGTCCGCCTTGTGACATGGAGCTGAATTTGTCTGAAGAACCAGCCATAGCTATCGGTATTCTCTCCCTCCACAATGGCAAAGGCTAATGGATATACTAATCTATTTGCATCTGCTCCGCTGGCAATCAGTAGAGTACCCTTGTACTTGCCGGTAAGGAATGTTCCATCAACTTGAATCACAGGAACACAGTATGGAAAACCATCAATACATGGCTTGAAGGCCCAGAAAAGACACTTGAATTGGCGATTGTTACCTGGCGCCGGCGATTGAATTTCTTCATCTTGGTAGCGAGGCGAGAAAATGGTGCCAGGGTTAGACACCTCCAACGCCAAAATAAATTTGGAAGGAATGCATATGATTCTTCCCAGTCACCAAACACGGCAGCCATTGCTTTCTGTTTCCCATGCCATGCTTTCTTGTAGTTAATGATATAACCATAACAACTAGAAATGTGGGCGATGATGGTTTTGACCTTCAGGTCGGGCTTCTCCTCAATTAGTTGTTTGATAGTCGCGGCAACCACCCTTGATTTCAACTGTCGATGGCCTTGGGATGTTATTGATGACACACATGTGTGTGTGTTCACCGCACGGGATATGACCCAATGGCCGACTCTCTTGCTCTTGATAGCCCGGACCCTAGCTTTGCATCCCTCATTTTCATTTCTGCATCGAACCATCAGCCTCTTTGTGTCGGAATGGGTTGTTTGCCATTCAAAACTCCGAGTCATTGCTTCAGTGGAAATAGCGTGTCGGACCTCATTCTTCGTTGCAAATTGTTGGCCCTTCGTAAAGCTAGTTAGTGGACCCCATAATGGCACATCTGGCGGGTCCATGTCGGCATCAACATACCAATCTTCATTTGAATGTGATTTTAGTATGGAATAGGTACACGGTCGTGAGCTACCTCATCACCATCTGCGTCTGAATCTGGACTGGAATCATCAGCACCTTCCAGCGGATCGTCGCTGTCTGCACTAACTTCGCCTTCCTCTTCTTCAACCTCAGGGTCACTAACTGGACTTGGATTGACCTCTTCTTCCATCTGACTACCAGCATCAAAGGCACCTTCACCTTCACTAGCTCCGTAATGGTAGTTGTGGTAACTAACACCGCTTTGATAGAAGTTGTACTCGGGTGGGTACTGGTAGCCTGCTTGTTGGTTGTAATCCGCCTGTTGAGCTTCTTCTTCATATGAAGGGAAGGATTGATGAATTCCTCCAGTACCATGATGATACTCCTGCCTCCAGCTCGACTCTTGGAAATCCTGGTGGGGATGATCTTCGTATAATACACTCCCACCGTGGATACCAGATGTTTGGCCATCTCCAGAATGACCTACACTGCCTTCGACGACCTCGGTGTAAACGAACATCTCCGCTTGCTTAATTTTATTGGTGGTCAAAAATTGGACCATGGCATCAACGTCCTCCTGAGTGGTAAGGAGGAATTCCTCATTCCACAGCGACCCGTCATGTTTGTTTGGATATCGATACACCATTCGATCAACTCTTCTAGTGCCATCCATGCAGGTAATCTGAGTGCACATTTGATAGAGCTCTTCAAGCATCGGTCTCGTACGGACCTTCATTTTATAAAAATTGCCACCGACGTAACTTACACCATTTTCGGTCTCTTCCGTGTAACCATTCCACCGCAACCCAAGCGTGAACCTTTGGAATGCCATCTGCAATGAAAACTAATTAAGTTACTAACATAAAATCACAAATGACAATGAAAAGTAATTAAGTTACTAATATAAAATCACAAATGACAATGAAAAGTAATTAAGTTACTAACATAAAATCACAAATGACAATAGAAAGTAATTAAGTTACTAACATAAAATCACAAAGGACAATGAAAAGTAATTAAGTTACTAACATAAAATCACAAAGGACAATGAAAAGTAATTAAGTTACTAGCATAAAATCACAAAGGACAATGAAAAATAATTACGAAACAAACTTACGAATTAACGTTAATCGCAAAAACTAAATAATTTAAAGCTGAAATTTTAAGAAGGAAGAGGAGGAGGTGTGAAGAATTGAGTTCTCTGAAACCGCCTTTTATAGGCAAATTTTGCATCAAAACCGCTGGGGGGGGGAGCGGTTTTAGGTCTGCCATGCAGCCCCACCAGGCCTACCCCCTGCATGCCGACATGTCCGACATGTTGGCTGTCGGGTGACCAGGCACAAACCGCGCCTTGGGGCAGCGGTTTATGTCCTGACATGTAAACCGCCGCTTGGCGAAGCGGTTTATGTCCTGACATTATAAACCGCCGCTTGGGGAGGCGGTTTGTAATGCCGACAGTTAAACGCTCTCTCCTAAAGCGTTTTGTGGTAGGGTTAGCCTATAACCGCGCCTTCCAGAAGCGTTTTGTTTTGGAAATTAAAAACGCTACCTTAGAGGCGCTGTTTTATTAAAAAACCGCTCCTTAGAGGCGCGGTTTTATAGAAACGATGGTATTTTTGGAAATTATTTGGAGTGGGTGGTATTTTTGTAATTTTTTTTGAAACAGTGGTAGTTTTGGATTTTTTCCCATGATTGCCGGTGGAGGAGAGGCTGGAGTATATCTTCTAAGTCGATGTTGCCTTTGTTGTGGGAAGAGGCTGGAGTTGTCCGTAGACTCAATTAATGATCAACAAGCTCCGATCCGCCGGTGTATGCAGATTGTTAATTTGCGGCTTGATCCGCAACAAAAGACTTCTCTTCGCCGGCAAATTCCTAAATTAATACCCAAATTAAATGATTCACCGTCTCTTATGCGCCTCGCTTTTGCGACCATCATTCATTAATGGATTATTATGGATTCCCTTTCTCTTATCGATTTCACTATGGACGATCTGATCTCTACCAGTACTCGAACACAAAAAAATAATACCCATAAACTTCTTCTGTCCAGAACCGCGACGTGTATAAATACGATCCCCATTCACCACTGATCGAACCACACACAATCAAAGCTAGCAGGCAGAAAAATATACACAAACAATGAAGATCATCATCGCAAACTCGGCGTTCCCTCTGCTGATAATAGCGGCATTACTAATAGCGACCAACCCCACTGCAGTCGTCGTTAATAATGGTCTGAACTGCAAAGACGGCGGTGGATCGACGAAGCCGCCTCCCCCGGACACGGGCAACTCTTTGGCTGCATTCCGAGCAGCAGGCCACGTGCCACCAAATCCCGATCGTTAAACTTCCTGCTCATAAATTATAGGGAAGCTTGATGAGAATGCAAATTCGAATCTACTATGGTGATCGAGCTAACAGGAAATATTGAAAGATCGTCAAAACTCAAACTGACGACCATGAATATCAAAGTGGATCGATAAGATTTAGAGGAAATCACCATCTTCAAATTTAATTTAATGTCAATGTTTAGTTTAGCTTTAGTTTGAGTTATGTTTTTATCTTTGTTTTGTTTTCTCCAAAAGCAAACTAGCACACCTTGGCATGTAGTGCAAGTAGCGGTGGCAAATGGATTGGATTGGTGGATTGGTGGATCCATGGATTAAATGGATTGGATCTAATGGATTGGTGGATTGTCCATGAATCCAAATGACATCATCAACCAAGTACCAATATGTAAAATGTAAAAAGTTTAGATACTAAAATGTCATAATGAAAAATTTTAGGTACCAAAACGTAATTTTTCAATGATATTTTTCGTATAAAAAATAAAATTTTAGGTACCAAAATGTAAAAAATAAAAATTATAGGTACTAAATCGTAATTTGCCAATGATCCATGGATCCAATCCATGAATCCACCAATCCAATTGGATTTGGATAAAATGGATTGGATTTAAATGGAGTGGATTAGGTGGATATTTTTAATGGATTGGATTGGTGGATTGGATTAAAATTGCCACCTCTAAGTGCAAGCTATGCCTATTTAAAGCCAAGTATGAATGAGAAACACCCAAGGCTTCTAGGTTCATTTTTCACAACTCAACTTTATTGTTATGGTATCAGAGCCTTTAGATTCTAGAAAACCCTAAAAACCCCTAAACACCTTCTACCCACAAGAATAAAGACTATGTCCAAATATGAAACTTTCAGATGTAAACCTTAAAAAAAAAATCAGCTCTTCTTCATTGCATTTCTACCCACAATATCAAACCCACCATTTCTTTCCCAAATTACTACTCCCCACCCGTCTGAGAAACCACCAAATCCCTTCCATCTTTACAGCACCTTTTCCAGATCGCAAACCCCAATATATCCACCCAAATCCCTAACAATTCCACCGCAAAATCATCGCCCTTCTTCCCCGGCGACGAGATCCGACTCCACTCCCCCAGCATCGTCGACTTCTCGCCGCGGTACAGCTCTTCGACGCGTCCGCGTCATCTGTTAGCGGGTTTATTCTTGGGCTTTTAAGCCCATGCGTGTAATGGTCATTATGTGGATGGCAGATGGAGTTTAAGCCCTAGTAGTGGATTGTGAAAGCTAGGGTTAAGAGGAATATATATATATATAGAACGTACGGTGAAAACTAAGAAAACCTAATAACAAGTATAGCTCGGAGAGTTCTACCTCTTCCGTGGACTAGTCCAGATATCGGGGAAACCACGTAAATCGCGTGTTGAGTTTTCTTCTTTGTCTTCGTATATGTTTAGTGTTTTGATACTGATCAACATGGTATCAGAGTTATCGTCTTTGGATTCTGAAAGGGTTTCGATTCGATTGAACTCCAAGAACTATGTGTAGACACCACATTTTGTCCGGGATAATCGTTGTATTGAAAATAATTATTGTAACATTGTACTACAATTATATTTGAAAAGGAACTGAAGATAGTTTGGTTGAGACTAGCAGTTGCAAGTCAATATGGACCAACAATTATCAAATTTGCTCCTAATCGATTCTAGAGCATAATTAGTCAAGATAGGATCGGTTCAAGTTAAGATTAGCAGTGGCAAATCTTAAATATAAATTCTCAATTGGAAGGAAGAAATGATTATAGTGCAAATTTTGTTGCTCGAGTTTGGATTGTGATTCGGTATTTGAAATGAGAAAAATTGAATAGTGGAATGAACTTTATTATCAAAGATTCAAAGTTGATACATCGTACAACTTTCGAGCAGCTTGGGTAATGACCTCTAAATAAAGCAAGAGTTAGAATTAATTACAATGACTAATGCTAAGTCTACAAAATTTGGGGCACCAATCAGATTAAGACTAGGCCTTTATGCTATTTCTTTTGGGCCCAAAGCGAAACCAACCTGCAAAAGAAAAGAAAAACCAGTCAGTTCTCAAACTAAAGCCCAAATCTGAGTAAGCCCAAATGGCCGGCCCAACTCGGCCCATACTCAGATCCAAATTGAAGCCCAACTCGGCCCAAAGCCCAACTCGGCCAACCAGTTCGGTCCAAAAGTCAACCATAAACCGACCTTTACCAATTCGTTCTGACCTTATCTTATCCAGCCGACCCGACACACATTTCAAAGTAAAAAAAAAATGGACGAATGATATAGTGACACGTGGCGGTTTGGTTTGCTTTAAAAGAGCTCCTTGCGGAAAAAAATGGACGAATGATATAGTTTTATTTGTTTTAAAATCCTTAATATGAAATGTAGAATTGCGGATTAAGCTTATCTCGTTTCTTTTCTAATACATCAAATATCCTCTTAATAACTGAAATCCTTATATTATCTTTTTATAATTTCATAATATCAACTTGAATTTTATTTAGAATAAATTTTGATACGAGAACCACGATCAACGGAACGTGGTAATAATATTATTTAAAATTATCAAAGTCCTAACGAACTACATGGACTTTGATCCCGTCTAATGGGTACTTAGTCAACCGATAAGGTTCGAGTCCAACTAATCAACTAACTTTAACTTTTAATTTTACGTCGGTGGGCGTATAATTGAATTAGAACTAATACAGTAAAACTATTTATTGGTCCAGTGGGACCCTAAAATTACAAAATTATTACTAAAATACACCCAACTCACATAAAAACTTATTGACTTAAGTAGTACCGATTTAGGGCGTTGTGGGGGTGTTGTTTAACTTCCCCACACGTAATCATACTCTCGAACCCAGAACTTTATTTTTGAAGAACATATCTCGGTTCCGACCCTAAGTTCGGAGCCGATTCGAAGAGTGTTCGACCCACTCCAATTAAGATCGATGGCGACTCCCAAAAATGCCAACGCGACGACATCGGACCCCCGGAGGGACGGTTGCGACACTATGCACTCTGGGAGTTCCAGTTCCGGATATTCATTGAAGGCAAGGGCCTTCTTTCGTTTCTAGACGGGACGACGCCGCGTCCTACTATTCCGCCATCGTCTACTGAAGAACTTGCTAAATGGACACAAATGGATGCAAAGGTGAAGTCATATCTCCTTGGCACGATTGATCCTACCATTTGTTTGGGGCTACGGTTGTTGCGTACGGCGAGAGACATCTGGGTCCATCTCGCCAGTACTTACACTACATCAGATCCCGCTCGGCAGTTTGAGATCACGTTAGAGTTGGCTCGGCTAGAACAAGGTGATCTCGACGTGATTTCTTACTACAACGCGGCACAATTGCTATGGATCGAACATGATTTATTGACTGCCGCACTATGCTCTGCTGCAGCCTCGGCCGAAGTCATTCAGGACCGCCAACGAACTCGTCTGATGCAATTTCTTAGTCGCCTCAAACCGGAGTTTGAGTCTGTTCGGGCGAATCTGCTGCAGCGCGAGCACCTAAAGCTGGATGGCGTTCTCGCCACTTTGGTTTGAGAAGAAACGCGCCTTCGGACGCATGCTCAGCTAGACATTCGTCCCGGCGCAGGGGGGCGGTCTTCGCCGTGACAAGTTCTCCGAGAGCAGCTGTTTGACCTGGCCAGCGTTCCAACTCAGCGCCTCCTAGTTCCGATGAAGCCTATGCTGTAAATCGGCCTCAGTATCAGCGTCGTATCTCGGACATTGTTTGTCATCATTGTCATCAGGTGGCCACTTGGTCAAGTTTTGTAAACAACGCAATTTTTGCGTGTATTGCAAAAAGAAGGGACATATAATTACCGATTGTCGTCTTATTCAACCCCACACGTCTGGATCGTCATCTTCTTCTCGGGCTACCCCAAACGGTGGCGCATATGCTTCCCAGTCAGTCACTCTAGCCCCTGACTCGGTTCCGCCTGGCCAATATATGACCGCTGATGCTGTGGAGCAGCTGCTCCAGGCCGCTCTCCAGCGTTCATTGCCGACAGCAATCACTAATGATTTCGCCACCCTTCATAATGATGGTATGTCCCCTCCTCCTTGGCTTTTGGATTCGGCTTGCTTTAACCATATGACGGGAAATTCTCAAAAGTTTAAAGCGATCAAATCGGTTCCATCTAGTTCCATACAGGTTGCGAATGGTCAACGTTTATCTGTTCGCGGGATTGGTGATGTTTTTGACTCCCATATGCAATTGTCTAATACTCTATGTGTTCTGAAACTTGTGCCTAATTTAGTTTCAGTTGGATAGCTTACTGAGCAGAATTGTCGTGTTGTGTTTGACCCCTCGGGGTGTGTTATTCAGGACCTGAAGACGGGGAGGCATATCGAAAGGGGGAGTAAACATGGGCGTGTGTTCGAGCTTGAAGAATTGTCGGGTCAACCTCCTTTGTCGTCTACTTTTCAGTCTAGTTCGTCGGGTAGCTCTCCCATTTTTTGCAGTTTAAAAACTAGTGAGTTTGATTTGTGGCATTCTCGGTTAGGTCACCCCCACTCGAGTCGGCTTGTAACCATGCTTAAGCAACAACTTTTCGGCAATAAGAAAGTTGATTTTTCTTCGAGTCAATTTCAGTGTACAAGTTGTGCCGAAGCTAAATTAACTCGTAGCTCCTTTCCTTCTAGTGCTACCATTATTCCCGAACCATTTCAGCTGGTTCATACTGATTTATGGGGACCGTCACCTACGGATTCATGCCATGGTTACAAATACTTTGCTTTGTTTGTTGATCATGCCACTCTTTTTACCTAGGTCTATTTTCTTCGGCTTAAATCTGACCTTCTATCCGCGGCCACAGATTTTTTGAAAATGATCAGACCCAATTCGGTACTACCGTTTGTGTTATCCGATCGGATCCTGGGGGGGGGGGGGGGGGAATTTAGTTCCAATCCATTAGACCGTTTGTTTTGTTCATAGGGGATCCTAATTCAGAAATCTTGTCCTGGTGTCTCCCATCAAAATGGTTTTGTAGAACGTGAGAATCGCCATGTTGTTGAACTCACTAGAGCCCTGCTTTTAGCCTCTCGTGTTCAAGCTCGTTTTTGGCATAAAGCAGTGGCCACGACTTTCCGTTTGATTAATTACCAGATCACTACAGTTCTTGGTGAGCTTAGTCCTCATTATGTCTTGTTCAAAAAGCATCTCGTCTTAAAGTTTTTTGGTGTACTTGTTTTGTTCTTCTCCCTCGTAAGGAGCGTTCTAAATTGTCATCCAAAACTTCTAGATATGTTTTTCTCGGCTACAGTGACATTCATAAGATTTATCTTTGCTATGATCAGTCTCTTCAACGTCTTCGTATCTCTTGTGATGTTGTTTTCTTTGAACGTCTCATGTTTTTCTCTACTCCTTCCAAGGAATCGTCCTTTGTGTCCGAGATGACCCGACTACCCGTGTTTGATGATGATGAAGAGGATCCTGAAGACCCCATACTCCCCCCGACTCGCCTGCCCCCTTGACACCTGGCGCCAGTTCGCCCGCTATTGTTTCAGTTAGACGTAAAAAAAAGCCTTCCTTCATGGTGACTTGAAGGAGGTGGTGTATATGTAACGGCCACCAGGATATACTGTTGGTCGTCCTGGCCAAGTTTGCAGGCTTAAAAGCTCTCTCTATGGTCTCAAACAAGCACCACGTGATTGGTTTGAGAAATTTCAGTCTACTGTGTTGGCTCTTGGTTTTCAGCAGAGCAGGAATGATCCTTCGTTGTTCTTCGGGTCCACTCCAGTGAGTCTTACTGCTCTCCTCTTGTATGTTGACGACATGATAATTACGGGGGATGATAAGTCTGGTATTCTACGGCTCAAGGAGGGTCTCCATGTCTCGTTTACTCTAAAGGAGCTGGGCGCTTTATCATATTTTCTTGGCCTAGAGATTACACATTCTCCCAAGGGTGTTCTCTTGAGCCAACGAAAATATGTCTCTGATCTGTTATCCTCGACTCAGTTTGGTGATATTTTTACTGTCTCTACTCCCATGGAAGTCAACTTACATCTTGGTCGGAAATCTGGGGTTTCTCTGGTTAATCCGTCTCAGTACCATCACATTGTTGGCAGCTTAATTTATTTGACGCATACTCCTCCTGATATTTCATTTGTCGTTCATGTCGTCAGTTAGTTTATGTCTGATCCTCGGGTTGATCATTTGGCAGTTGTCCATCGGATTCTTCGCTATCTTCAGGGTACTCGAGATGTTGGACTTTTTCTCCCATCCACTAGGGATTTTCGGCTACAGGCATATTCTGACTCCGATTATGCGGGTTGTTTGGATACACGTCGTTCTACTACGGGGTGGTGTGTTCAGTTTGGTGGCACTTTTATCAACTGGCGCTGCAGAAAACAGGATAAAGTATCAAAGTCCTCCATTGAGGCTGAGTATAGAGCAATGTCTGATGTTGCTTCGGAGCTTGTTTGGATGCAGCGGTTACTGGCTGATTTGGGTGTTACTTGTCCTTCTCCTATCACACTTCATGTGGATAATACTAGTGCTATTCAGATTGCAGTCAACCCGGTTCTGCACGATAGAACGAAGCATATCGAGATTCATATTCACTATGTCAGGGATCTGGTTCAGCAGGGGGTTCTTGTTATTCGCCATGTTGCTTCTGCTGCTCAACTTGCTGACATGTTTACTAAACCATTTCATCGTGCCCGACATTCATTTCTTTTGGACAAATTGATGCTTAGGGATCAACATCAATTTAGGGGAGGCTGTTAGCGGGTTTAGTCTTAGGCTTTTAAGCCCATGCGTATAACGGTCATTATGTGGATGACTGATGGTGTTTAAGCCCTAGTAGTGGATTGTGAAAGCTAGGGTTAAGAGGAATATATATATATATATATAGAGAATGTACGGTGAAAACTAAGAAAACCTAATAAGACGTATAGCTCGGAGAGTTCTAGCTCTCCCGTGGACTAGTCCCGATATCGGGGAAACCACGTAAATCGGGTGTCGAGTTTTCTTCTTTGTCTTCATATACGTTTAGTGTTTTGATACTGATCAACATCATCACCGTCGAGGACCGATATAGTAAAGTTGTACTCAGCCCGCAGTGCCTTCAGGAACACCAAGTGGTGTAGCGGAGTTCGAACCTAAGACCTCACACATCTCAAATCTGTAAGACCACACTCCCGACCAATTCGGCAGTGTTACCTTTGGCAAAACCTTTCTTAAATTAAGAAGCGCAGGAAGCGTGAAAATATTTTGAAGGGTTTGCTCTTGTCAATTGTGAGTAAATAAACAATTGGGAGAGAAAGAGACCATATATATCAACTTGCAGATTGGCAAGGTGGAGTTCGTGTCGTGGCACACTTCTTGTGAAGTCCTTTCCTCTGTATTAGTACTTCTCTTTTTTATATTCTTTCATATTTTTTTATATGAGTTTTTCCGTTTATAAAATATTCTTCTTACGGAGACTCGATTAACGATCAACAAGCTCCGCCGGTGTATGGATATGTTTATTTGCGGCTTGATCCGCAATTTCCCAACAAGAAATTAGATATCAAGCCCGCAGCCTCAAGTAACTTCTCTTTGCCGGCAAAATCCTAAATCAATAGCCAAATGATTCGCCGTCACTTATGTGCGGCGCTTTTGCGACCATCATTCATTGATGGATTATTATGGATTCGTTTCCCCTTACCGAAATCACTAGGGAGTAGGGAGGATCTCCACCAAAACTCAAACACAACAATAAAATAATACCCATCTCTTCTGTCCGCATCCGTAACCACGGCTTCCCCGTGGGTGTATAAATACGATCACCATTCACCACTCATCGAAGCACCCACAAATACACAATCAAAGCTAGCAGGCAGGAAAAAAAAATACACACTAGCACACAATGAAGATCATCGCGAACGCGGCTCTTCTCCCTTTGCTGATCGCAGCATTACTACTAGCGACCAACCCCGCTGCAGTCGTCGCTAATGATGGTCTGAACTGCAAAGACGACGGTGGATCGACGAAGCCGCCTCCCCCAGTACTCATGGGCAACTCTTTTGCTACATTCCAAGAAGCAGCAGGCTCCGTGCCACCAAATCCCGATCGTTAAACTTCTTGCTCGTTAATTATAGGGAAGCTCGATGAGAATGCAAATTCGCGAATCTACTATGGTGAGGTGAGGTGAGTCCAACACCATAATCATTTGGACTACAATGTCTTTGACAAAAATAAAGATTATACGTCGTAATCGTTATATACGCGCTATCGGAAAAATATTTCGAGAATAAAAGGTAACTACATCAACTACTTATCTAATTATGTATGCTTCTACATACTGTGCATGTACAGAGTAAGCTTGCTGGCTTGCTCTTAGTACTACGATTGCAAAGCACTAATGAATAAATTAAAGTTGTACGTCCTTTGAGCTATATGAAATAAAAATGAGTTTTACTCGTATTTTTCATTTATTTGTTTTCTGTTTAATGGTACATTAAATAATCGAAGAACGCCAAGCAACCAAACGCGTTATTCGTGCTTTTGATATTTTAGTACACGATCAGATAGAGAAAGAAATTTGTATTGAGGGCCAAGTTCAATAGTTAGGTCTAGCAGAACAATTTTTCGTAGGCTTGTCTGTTGGGATTTTGGGTTGCTTCAAGGCTCCATTTAAATTACCACAATCTGCATCAGAGGAAGAAATTCAAGGTATAGAACTATTGAATAAGGCTTTATAAAGTTAATATGATGAGGTTGTTTCTGCCTTCATCTTCCATAACAATTTAATCTTGATAAATGACAATCATACGTGAACAGGTATTACTAAGAGTCGTGTACGTGGTAGAGGCAAATATAAAGGCCTTAACATGGCGAAGAAAACTAAGTCAGTCAATGACAAACTGCTTGATGTGGTTGGGATATTGTGTTCGTTCTGTAACTGAGGCGCCAATGTATGGCTGGAAGTCTACCGTAGTTCCTCAATATAGTAACCAACTATGGAACATGGTCACTGTAAGTGCATTCGAAAGAAATTGGACTATCCTAATCACCATTTGATTTATGCTTACATGCTAATAATTTTAATGATCTTGATTTATTTGATAGGATTACTTTGACGTGAGTTCCGAAAGCCCTCCAAAGCTGGAAAAAACTTGAGGAATTGCATAATAGTCCTTCGTCTGAAACTATTGAAATGAAGCAATTCAAGTTCAGGACACATTGCTTCCATGTGATGAAGGAGAACTATAGAAAGTGGAAATCAAGGCTCCGTACAGAATACAAACAGTTTGACACCGATGAGGAACGAATGCAGGAAAATCCCTGAAGGTTTAACAGCTGAAAATTGGAGGAAAATGCTACAAGTCTTTGCATCAAAGAAATTTGTGGTACGGATTGAGAATGTTTATTTAATCATATTTTTCTTTATTGAATATTGCATATGTTATATTTTGATTTCCTGGACTTGGTTCTTCATTTGCTAATGCGTATCAACACTAGCTTTTATATATATATATATATATATATATATATATATATATATATATATATATATATATATATATATATATATATATATGTCAAAAGCTAGCGTACGTCAGTCGTACGTTGTACGTCTGTGTTCACACTTGGTTTTTGCACTTCAATATATTTCGTTGAATCAGAACCTTCGGTTATTATTTCTTAGATTAAATGAATCTCGTGGCTTGGGTTAGAGAATTAGGGACTGGGGTTTATCCATTAGAGGTTATATATATATATAGAAATAGAATATATATATATATATATATATATGTTGCATTTGTTTATGTTATTGGACACAATCCTTTTCCTTTATTAATTGTTTATGCTTCTCTGTAGTTGTGTTGAATACGGATTTTGTACTATAACTTATTTTTTTTTGCTTTTGCTGGGTAACATTGGTAGCATTATTCTTGCAACAAACTCATAATTTATAGATGCTTTATTTTGTATGTTTATATGTGTATCTAGGAATTGAGTGACAGGAATACAAAGACTCGAGCAAATCAAACACTCGTAGCATGTACCGGGCCAGTTTCCTTTGCACAAGTGAACTATGATATGGTAGTATTTTTTTTAATTTATGTAGTTTTTAAATAATCCATTTAGCTATCTTTGATTGGATTTATCACACTTGATAGATTGACGAGGAAACTGGTGAAGAAGCATTAGCTTCTGAGGTTTGGATGGCTCAACATACATTTCTGAATGATAAGAACGAGACTCAGTGGGTCAAAAATGAATCATTCCTAGCTTATGTAAGTTTTAATTTATTATACTCAAAGTAAATTTATGGAATTGTTAGATTTTATGAACAATGTGTTAATATTTGTATTCCTTTCTTTTTGGCAACAAATAAGGAGAGTTGAAGAAGAAGTTGTACCAGTTAATCCAAATATTGACGTGCTGAAGGAGGCTTTTAAGACTCTCGCTCTGGACATATTCTTGGTAAAGGAACTGGTTGCAAGTCAAGGATACAAACAACAATCAACCCCCAAAGTGGAAAAGTGCAACAGCTCGAGGAACAATTGGCCGCTGTGAGAACAAGGTTAGAAGACCAAGCTCAACAAAATCGAGAGCTGACAACAAAATTGGAAGATCAAGGGAGGCAAAATTTGTTGTTGAGCCAAAGGTTTGAGCAATTAATAGAAATGGTATAAAGTCAGCAACATGGACACTCATCAGAAGATACTGGAGTAAGTTCCCTACCCGCAATCCTCTACTTACATGCAGTAGAAGCTTAAATGTTGAAAGTGCTATTCTTGACTTCGGATAGCGCTTAAGTTGTTTTTTCACTTTCAACTTAATTATATGTTATGATTAGTTTTGATAACAAATTTTGAATTAGGATGAAGAAACTCTTAGTCGAGAAGAGAGGAATGAAGAAGAATTTGAAAGGGAGCAACGTTATCTAAAGGTATGTGACTTTTCTTTTTTAGATCAAAGAAATATGATAGTCTACTTGGTAAACAATAATGTATAGTGAGCATATTTAACATTTTTTGAATAAATAATGTAGGTGCTGCATCTTAATAGAAAGAGGATTTCACCAACAAAACATTCTTCTGCTGCAAAAAAGAAGAAGTGATTCTTTGCTTCTTCACGTTATGTGTAACTTTTTTTCATCTCTTGACTAATGTTTTGTTGACTTCCTTAATAATAATTATTAATCTTTGATTTTATTTTATTTTTAAGAAGATGGAACAAGAAGCTTCTTTATGGGTCAGATTTGGAATACGATGAGAAGAAAATTATATTTATGATTCTTTAGGATTTTGGATAATGATGATACATTAAGTCACGATTGTTTTACCTTTTAAATTTTTGAATCCTATTAATGTCATTATTATATGACCAATATATATTTATTTGATGCTATCTTGTGTGAAAAGATAATGTAGGGATGGCAATTTTGCCCATACCCATGGGTATTTTACTATCCAACCCAATTGGGTTGGGTATGGATTCCAAATAAATGGTAGATGGGTAGAGTTTGATGGGTTTGTACCCATACCCATTTACTTGGGTTGGATTGGATTTTTAACACATGGATTTGGGTTTGTACCCATGCCCAAAGGCAAATTACAGTTTGGTACCTAAACTTAATAGATATGCAGATTTAGTACCTAAATTTAATTTTTTTTACATATAAGTCCTCAAAATATCGATGGAAAATTACGTTTTGGTATCTAACTTTTTTTGGTCTTACATTTTGGTACCTAAACTTTTCAAGTTTTACAAATAGGTCCAGTTTTTGAGTGTGTAGTTAAAACACCCTCAAGTAAATGGATATCCATATCCAACCCATACCAATTTGCATTATGAAACCAATATCCATACCTAACCCAAACCCATCTACAAACCCCCAAACCCATATACACTTCATCCAAACCCTCTACCCATACTAAATGGATTTATTTGGATTTGGGTAAAATTACCCATGGGTGGGTAATTGCCATCCCTAATGATTTGTTGTCTCCAAGTGGGCGTGTCCTCATCCCCAATTATAGTGTATATGGGATGTCTCCTTGTCTCCAAAAATAATTTTTTGGGATGAATAAATGTCTCCACTATTACTAGACGTCTTGTTGTCTCCAAAATTCTACTTAAAAGACACATCGTTGTCTCCAAAACTAGTTCTTATGAGACGAAAAACTGTCCTGATAAATAGTTCACAAGAGACGACTGGCTGTCTCCAAAAAAACTGCATAAGGGATGACTTGTTTGTCTCCAAAGATAGTTGTTGGGGAACGACTCATCGTCTCCAAAACAGTGCATTAGGAACAACTAAGTGTCTTATAAGATAGTTATCAACAAGACTTAATGTCTCCGACATACTTCATACGGTATGACTTGTTGTCTCCAAAAATATTTCATAGAGGACTAATTATTGTCTCCTGACATAACATATACGAGACGACTTATTGACCCCCAAAATACTGCATAGGAGACGACATATTGTCCTAAATTATTAGAAATAGGACGGAAAATTAATTAGAATTTTTGCACTTTTGAAGACAACTATGTGTCTCTGACATTGAAGACGACTTTCATTTTTTGTCTCCAAAAGAATAGAGGACGGAACCTATAGGCACCACCCGCAGGGACGACATTTGTCGTCCCCAAAAGATTTGGAGACAAAAACCAATGTTTTGGAGACGAAATTTTTCGTCCCAGAAACCTATCAATTATAATAATCGATTATTATCAAGTGGGTACTTTTGTAAGGATTAATGGTTTATATTTTTGGTATGGTAATTCAAAGGGTTATGAATGGATTTGTGATTATTAGAGTAGTGTATTGCTGATTTGATGTCCAGAAAATGATTTGTGATCATTAGAGGAATGAAAATCACAGCAGCAGCTGGTAGCTCTTTAAAAAAGTAGGGCACCAGGTGGAGATGATTCCCCAATCCTATCCCCGGAGCTAGTTTCCTTCTACTTGACCAATCCCTGTCCAAAGCAACAAGCGGGGGACCAGGAAATTAATTAAGCTTGCAAACTCCTCTAACGTTGCAATCACATGCCAGGACGAGGGAGTGGATGATTTGCTCTTCTCCCTGTAGCCCCGAGTTCAAAGCTTTGGATATCCAGGACTCAGATGTGACTATCTCGGAGGATGAGGAGCAGTTGGTTGAACTCAAATCCCGCAAGTCGGCAGTATTAAGGATATTTATAGTAAATAAAAACTTTTTTTTTCCCCTTTTCTCTCCCACTACTGCTCGGCTCCTAATTCTTAGCAGTGTGGGATACTTTTTCTGTTGTACAATCCTGTATATTAGCATTGAGAATCATGAATGAAATCAAGTCAATTGATTCTTCCCATAATTATGTCTCTCAAACTCGTTCATGCAGCTGGTCATGATCATGTTTGCCGCACCAACCAGGGACGTGTTTG